AGTATATGTATATATTTATATATAAATAAATATATTAAATTAAGAGTGTTTTACATTCATATTAGGGGTTTACACAAATAAGCGAGTCACATATTTAATCACGTAGTGATTATATCAATGACTCTCGAATTCTGAAAAAGAACTCTCTGTCCTACTCCAAGTTTGTTTCATAGCCCACGCAAGTTGAGCTATAAAAGGACGATAGCCATGGTACTGCCCATGATTCATTTTTCCTTCTCTACATTCCTACCCATAGCCACACTTTTCATTCATTTTTCCTTACTTCCGTTTGCGAAGTATGATGCCGGCTTATATAATAAGCTGACTCATCCCCAATTGCCAAGGCAACAGGAGCATGTAATTATATATTACTAACCAAGCCAGCTCCTTTCCTCTATCGGTCGTCACCCACACATAGGACAGTCGCATCCTTATGATGCACCACTTGACCTCCTACAGCCGCTAAGTATTAGTACGATCGATATGATTTAGACATACTAAGTACATTCGAACATCACAACATGCATACTCGTGGCAATCAGGACTACTTAGCTAGCTTAGAAACGTATGTATATTTGGCCCATATCATGTCACCACCAATTAATTTGAACGGAATGACTCCCGCTAGGATATTGGAGACTCCGTCTTCCCTTGTAGTACCCTATGATACATCACAGCAGGGTGAAGAGCCGCATGAAGAACTCCTTACAAACCATATTCCTACTGATATCTTGACGAAAGTTCCGTCTCATCTTCCTCTGCTGTCCTCCAGTTGACTACAGGATAACTGTCCACAGCAACCACTTGGTTATACTTTACCTCCGCCTCAACTGCCGCGTTCTTATAATATTTCTACAAATATTCTTGATAATGCTCCAGCTACTACTACCAATGCCACTACAAAGTTATACCAACCAATCCATCACCTTTTTATCAACCTATGTAAAATTCGATGGATATTTCTATGTTTTAAACTATGTTATATAAACTAAGATACAATTTAAGTCAGTTAGGATTTAGCAGTGGTAGCTTGTGTAAGAATGAATCTGGACTGTCTCTTGGTAAGAGCCTTAATATCATCGATCACACAGGACGTAACTCTAGCTGTTCTTTATTAAAACTTTTCACTAGAAGTACTAAGTGTTCATGACCACATGTCTAATTTGTAGATAACATAAGAACGTAAGTCAAGTTGATACATTAGCCATATAAATAGAGTTCCATCTGAAGAAAAGCTAAAAAAAGAATTTTTTTAGATTGGCGGGAAGACCAAAACTTGTAATTAAGTAGTTCAGAGATTATAAAATTTAGTTCATAATGCCCTACATCTACTAACGTCTCAAATACTATTGGAGCCATCAAGGTGATTTTAGAACACTTTGGAAATATTGGAAAAATAACTTGTATTAAATTATTTTAAATGCAGATAAAAACCAATGTTTTCAGGATAGCGACAGTGAATTCGGACTGTTTACTCGTAGTACCGTCGTTCAAACGCTTTGTCGATGGTTGTTCAGTTGAATCTTCAGATGTCCCAGAACGTTTCTCCATGTTGTTAGTATCGGTTGCTGTCGTGTTGATAGGGATAATATTATTTATTTCAAAAATGGCAAGGATGTATGATACAAGGTATGAACATATGGTATGGTTCTCATAGTCGCTGCAGTGTTGATAGTGATTTCCTCTGTTGGTACTGACATCTTGCGTAGTTATTGTTTCTTTCGTCTGGGACTTTCACTTCTGCGGTTGTATCTGAGAAGTGATGTCAAACACTGATCCTTGCAGTCCTTTATATGTATTCGGCCGGAGTCCGATTTTTGATTTTTCGGGTTGGCTTGTGGGACTCTACTACTAGTAGTAGAGGAGGAAGACTATAAAGTATGAAATATCCCAAAAGACTTGTCCGGCACTTTTAGTGACACTTTTTTTATTCTTTAAAAAAAACAACAAAAAACAACATTTTTGTTTTACTTTTTCATTTTTTAAATTTGTCGTGTCCAATAAAACTGGGCCTATGTTTGTAAATATGTAAATACGTACATAATATTTTCTACAGCGGGGTAGTGTACTATTTATCAGCATTTTGGTGTATTTACATACAGACCACAGAGGTATGCAATTGCCAATTATTTACATCTGTATCCTCAATCCTGGTATGAGGAACGCTGGAGGTTCAGTGAGATTTGATGGTGTTCACTACGAAATCACAGTGTGGACTGTACAAGAGTATAGAGAGGTACGAGTTGAATCACTCCAATGACTTTGAAACACTCACTATTTTGAAATATCCATTGTCTTTGCAAGTCTAATAGGGCGGTATATATTATAATATCCAAACTATAGATACATGTGATGAGCGAGGACACAGAAGCCAAGGTACAATTTGCCAGCAATGGTATACCGGCTACCACCTTCGATGCTGCGCCACTTACCACCAAAATGCCACTGCCGAGACGGAAGGTGGCTGTGAAACCGGGCCGCAGTATGATGGACTGGGTCAAGTTGACGAACTCTGGACAGAATCTACGAGGTATTTCATGCCTTTTCGAAGATTATGTACTGTTGCTTTCTTTCCTTTGGGAGTTGTGATAACAATCTACCGTGTACTATTGCACAGTTTGTGTTTAGGATGTATTTCCACGTGTTTAATAGTTGACAATCTACCGTCTACTAATGTACGGTTTCTTGGATTCATATACATTCGTTTTAAGGTAAAATCGGGAGTTGGATTACGCCCACGTGAAGGCTGTTTGATCTTACATATCAATAATTCGTTCGAAGTAGGAAT